TGACTCAGCACCTCCCGCGTCTGCAGGAACGCCATAAAGGCCACAGTAAGAAGGAGCCAGTCCTTCGTCTCCTCACATACTCACACACATACACATGCATACTGAAGACGTAGGGGGCCCGAGTTTTCCCGTCAGTTGGAAAGCCCTCCGAAACACGGCTTATAGCGCACCGTGATAGAATTAATCGTATCGGATTTACTATAGTAACTAGACAAGCGTGCTGGGGGTTGACCTCACTCTCTCCCCCACCATCAACCGAACGCCTAGCTGCTCGGACACCTGAGGCGGGGCCTTAATCCCAATAAAGTGCACCGACGGGGAATCAGAACCGAGGGAAAGTGCCAAAGCCTACTAGGCCACAGGGAACATGGTTTGCTGAGGTCTGGCATTGCATATGCATGCAGGCGTTGAATCTCTACCTACCACACATACATGCACTCACTGACTCTGAGGCACGACTAGACCCGGTTCACATCAGCCTTGGCCTCGCTAACGGCCACTGCTGCTTGAGACAGCGATTCGGGGTTCTTTGCAAAATCTCTCATCTTCCCTGTACCCAAAACCTGGTATTTTGTCCGATGATTGTAGCAGTCAGTCTGACTAAGAAGTAAAAGCTCCTGTTTGTTCAGGGGAGTACAGTTGCATTAACTCTTCATCTCCTCCAAGATTTTGCCAAAAACAGCAGTAACCATCGCATCGACTGCCTATGCAACCAACAGATTGAAGGCAGCTGTCATCGAAGTCAGTTTCACAGCCGTCACTTCCTTTAGGAAGACAAAGGCGTATTTACTTGGGGGTTTTACAAGTGATACTTATAGGCAGAAATGCAGTACCGGTTAGAACAGGGGCGACTGCAATGGATAGTTCTGACTTATTAGACATTACCAGTGGGCTTTACCCAATCGCAGGATTCGCAAGGTTGGCTTCTGACTCGTCGAACCGCAGACACTTCTACTCTCATAAACATTTTAAATAGAAAGGCAGTAATTCAGCGAATAGATATTACGACAGCTGTTTTTCTTCGCTCTTGTCCTTTTTAGCACCTTTGAGACTAGCTGTGAGCAGTGTGCCACCTACTGGCCCAGGGTCCTGACTGCAGAATTCCACTCTCTACGAAATGACTGTCGGGTCTACAAAGAATTCGAGATAAAGGAGCATGACGTCACTGTTCGGACGCTGCGCATAAAACCTCACGGGGAACGCAAGGTCAGCTTCCGTGTTTCCTTATTCCCCCTCCCTATGCACGACCTGCCCGTAATAGGGCTTTTACTTGACCGACAAAAAAATGTTCACCATATGTATGGCAGAAATTTTCGGCTTCGCCTTCTTACCCTGTAGACAGCCTGGCTTCTCACTAGGAGGATTGGCTGTCAGAATGGAAGGTCTACTCTCAGACATAACAGTTAGTGCTAAAATTGTACATTAAGTTTTTAGGGCGAAGCTTAATGGTATCCTAGATTCATTTGAACCATTTGTGAAAACCTCGGTGGGATTCGAACCCAATTTCAGCACGCGAAAGGCTTTAGTACAGCCAATGATCTAGCCAACTTAGCTACGAGGCCCCCACCGGGACCGATGAGTAAACTTACACTTGGGTCAACTTACCCGTCCAGTCTGCTGAACTTATGCAATCCGCCAATTCTGCTATCGTTCGCTGATTGTTCAAGCACGATTTCCTAAGCCGCATTAAGGGTAGTAACCGTAAGACAACTGTTTGCACAAACCCGATTTCCTTCTGCTTATTGCCGTGCTCAGAGGGTGACGTAGAATAGGGGCTGTATTCATTCTATCTAAGAAGTCATTTTCAGTGTTTAGCTTTTGTAGACAGCTGACAAGAAGTCCATTCAAATGCCAACGTGATTACAGCATCTCGTCTTTATGCTGCATTCAGTTCCTAGTGCAACCGTACGCCAATGGTTGTTTCGCAACGTAAGCACAATTCTCAAGGGCAGTTAACATTTGATGATTTGCCTCTATAGTGTCATCTCGTTAACCCATATGATTAAACATTAACTCAAATTCTGAAAGGTCTTACTGAATGGTGACAAAATACTAAATAGCTGGCAATTTCATTTCCAAGCATAACAGTTGTGGCAACATGTCAGCGTGTAAATACGAAGTTTGTATTGCTGTCAGCATAAGCAAGATGTGCATTCTTATACGCTTTTGGGATAAATTGTGGTTTCTTTAATACCTCTTTCAAAAAAAGGTTTATTCAAATGCAGAGGACTTTTTTTAAACTCTGGAATAAAGTTTGAGCCCATGTGATTTTGTATTGTTGGTTAGGTTTTAGAGTCTAGAAGCTGCATACTTTCACCGGAAGGAAACTTGTTCCCCCTGCGTGCTATTAAAATGATATCATACAGGGCTCATACCATCTCGCGATTGATATAGAACAAACTATATCCTTGATAACTTACATTAGCAAACAGACAGATAAGAATGAAGGTTTCCCTGTTTGACCATCTCATGATTGGAACCTCCTTAGAAAGTAAAGACTTCTCGATCTTCGAGCAAAAGTTCGAACTAGAGGCAATTTACCACAATTTGAGTTCAGCAAAAAGGATATTTTTTGCGCATGTTCTATAAAATGTTTTTGAATACATGAAGGCGGTGAAGAGCAGTGGAAACAGGCATACTATGTATTTAGTCACTTCCCATGAATGTGACTATTTACAGACGCATAGAAGCGGCCACATCCGGCATCGTAGCCAGGCTGACCTGTCTTAGGATTTTACAACTCCACCTAGCCAACCCCTTCTAATCGAGATCATATTCAGTAGAAGATCCGATTACTTGAACAAGAGGTTTAGGCAGATAAAAATTACCGAAAATGCAGTTTCTGGCCTATTGGTCGTCATCAGCCGGATATACCTAACCCCAGGAAGTGAACTAACCGGGACTCGTACACGCAGTCTACCTACAGAAGCCCAGCGCTCTCTAAAACTGCACTCACAGGCTCTTTGTCTTGCAGGTTTAGATCAGGAAGAGTGACATTCACTAATGAATGCTCACCGCAAGCCAAAGGACCTCACCCAATACGCTCGGCCTTAGGGCTCATTCTCGAGCCCCGCCAGTAGACGCACAGTGGCTGCTACAGTAGAAAAAAAGACTGTGTCGAAAAAGGCAGGGAAAACTGGACTGTGTATTTAATGCCTCTATTACAAAACGCTGTGTAGCTATGCTGGCAGGCGGAATGGGGCATACTAACCCCGCTGGTAACGTTTATTAACATGAGGTTTCGAATCCTGGCTAAAACCAATCATCAGAGAAATATTAGCAAATAAGGGCACCAGGTGCGCAGTATTCGAAGTCCGTAATGGCCACCGGAGCACAAATCAGGCCAATGTTTCCTCGTTGCAGCGATGATCGCATCTTCTACTTTCTGAATTGCTTCCTGGAATTCATTTGCTTTTGCTTCTATCACTAAGAGTATTTTGTTTTTTGAGTCAGCACCTCTCATAGAATAAGTCGCTAACGGTATATAAAAACTTAGTGATTTTAAGCCTGGCGTTTCCTTCTCGATTCAGTCTTGGAAAGTTGTGCAGATCCATTTCCACAAGTGGTCGGAGGCCGATCATCTAAACGCGGAGCGCCTATATCATGCCCTACGCGTATGCCATGATCACGGATACAGACCAAAGGTGGACAGATCGAAAGGGCCGATAACAGTTCATGGCAGGTAGGTCCTCATCTCCCTTTGCAATTACTAAGCTCACCGCAGGCTAACCCGGTAACTTACCTATCCGCACGCTCTCTCTCTCTCTCTCTGTCTCTTCTTGTAGCACGGGGATTGGCCGAGCAGCCGTCTTCATTAACGCACAGTTTCTGCTCGATCGACTACATCATGCACCTGCATCGCTCGACGTCTTTGGTACGGTCCTGGCCACCAGAAGATATCGTCCAAATATGGTGAAAACACTGGTGAGGCGTGTTTGCAGGCTTGCCGTCCTTTTCATTGTATCCATCCAAGTTGAAGGCTGCCACTGCATTACAAAATATCCTGCTGACAATTAAGGGCTGCAGATGACGCTGCGGCCGCTAACTAAAGTGGACCCTCCTTTAACGAGTTGGGTCTTTCCAAAGGCTGCCCCTGCTGTTACTTAAACATAAGAAGTAGTAATATAACAAATGAAAGTTTTAAAAATCTCTCTGGGAAAATGCATTTAGTGCCATGGCCAAGAAGATTGTCTAGTCTTTGGCCTGCCTCGACCTTTGTCATTACTGACGATCGGGCTGCAACTGCCCCTCCTTAATGCTGCATCTATAAGACGCACGCATGTTGACAACTCCGCAACTGAGCGGGAGCTAGTCAAGCTAAACAACCTTTCTGCTACTGGCATGCTGGTTGCTTGAGATGCTCGTAGATGGAGCTGCCCGTCACCCAAAGCTCAATTTTATATTGTCACTACATCAGTCTAACTACACACAGCAGGAACGGACGAGAAAGTCAAACGACCTGCTCTATAAGCAGGCATGCGTTGCCGGGGACTGGGCTGCAGCGTTTTTCTCCATTACGTTTAAACAAAAGGGACTGTTAAGTAGGAGAGACGAGACTGTTAAAGGTCAGTTAGTCTGGCACCTAGACACAATAATCCCCCCCTGCACCAGTCAGACACTTGAGGGCGGGGAAGATCGCGCTAAAAGATATATACAATTATAAAAAGATAGGAAGCTACATGATAAGAAAAGTACACGTGATGGCCACTGTGGACGATAGAATGAGATGCGTAGGGGAATACTGGATGTGATATCTGTCTGGACTGTTGGAGATGCCTAAGTCGACAGTTAGAAGTAGCGGACATGGAGAACGGGATCCAAGAGGGCAAGGTGGAATTGAGAGTCCTGGACATGGAGGGGCATGGAGAAGAGGAAAACAGGAATCGCGCGGAACCTTTCTCGAGATGAGACTCAAAGACGGAGAGCATCAGCATATATTGTCAGACATGGTCCAACAGAGTGATAGACTGCCCGACCGTAACTTGAGGGTTTAATGAGATCATTTCACTGACTGTATCGCCTAGCACCAGAATAGTGCCGGGAGTAGCGGAGCGGATGCCTAACAAGCACAGAAGCATATGATTCATCCAGTTCTCCGCACTGTCTGCGACACCTGATGAACTCACTCCTCCGACCCCTCGGCTTCCGGATGATGCGGGTTTGAGTACCGCCTAAAATACAGATTTGACAGTAAACGGTCAGTTAGTCTGCCGCTTTCACATATGATAACCCTGTTGCGGCACATTTGTAGATTACTTATGCCTTATGACTTATGCCATGTGGCCGTTTCGTCACTTGGCAGGAAAACACTCTTCAGTCTGACTGGACCATTAAAAGGCCTTTGCCAAATGTGACTGGTTCGGAAGCCGCATGGACGCTATAGCTGTTGATCAGAAACCCTTCTCGTTATAATCTGACCAGTTGTGTAAAACCAGGCCAAGAATAGCACGCATAGGCGGGCTTACCGAAGAGCTAAGGCTAATACCGTTTTAACCCTAACGTCAGCGATCTTCCAGGCCCGGTTCCTTAGGAGATGGGAGAGGAGAGGTTGGGAAGGCCAGAGTGTTAGGAACAATATATCGTTTACAAAAGGTTAAGGTGGAAGTTGGTACTCGGTCTGGTATGGCGTTCGACCGTGAGCGCCATGTGAGAGCGTCGGGTCGTCACACCGGCCAACAACGCTGCCTGCGTCTGCGGAATCCCGACTGGCCGTCAGCGCAGAAATGTCACAAAGGCCCCAGAGCGAGGACTGTGAGTCAGCTTCAGGTTG